CTGTGTATATTTTTTTTTACATTTCAGCACTAAGAGGCATATTTGCCAAAGATCAGCTTAATCTACTTGGCTAATGGATAAAATCAGACTGTGGGCTGTGTTCATTAGCTGCACAGACTTTGTAGAATAACATTTTTACAGTCATATTAGAGATAACGGTCATTAAATTACCATTTTTAAGAAGTTAAAGCCAGACTCCTTGTGTATTAATAATAAACATTTTTCTGGTGCGTCATACATTTTTTTTCCCCATCTTAAACAAAGGCATTGACCAAGGCCAGATGACATATGATGGGCAGCACTGGCACGCAACAGAGGAATGTTTTTGCTGTGCTCGTTGCAAGCGCTCTCTGCTGGGCCGCCCCTTCCTGCCAAAGCAGGGGCAGATCTTCTGTTCACGGTCCTGCAGTGCTGGACAGGTGAGTAACCAATAATATGATTATATGATTGAACTGTTGTATCTTTTAAAAAGGGACATTCATACATACATTAAACATTATGTTTACAAATTTTTAATAATTGTACTGTTTTACTGTTTTATTTGAACCAATCAGGATCCAGATGAGTCTGACTCCTCAGACTCTGCTTTCCAAAGCGCCCGCTCCCGTGAGTCCCGCCACAGCACCAAGATAGGGAAAAAGGAGCGCAGGAATGCTGAGCAAGAGCGACGGAGTGCTGAGGCCCGCCAGTCAGCTCCTCCACCCATGCCTGACCGTCTGTCTGCAGAAAGTGATCCGCTTTCTGTACAGATGGACCGTTTAAGCCTCTCATCAAGCCAGACCCCGAGCAGGACACCTAACCGCACACCCAGCCGAACTCCGAGCCGTGCCCCAAGCCTTAACCAGGTGTGGATGAGCCGGGATGACCCCTACGTCCCTGCTGTTTACGAGGGCCCTCAGCGGGAACCCTCCCCCAGTCCAACACCTATACACCTGCTGGGTCAGTGTAACCTCAGGCAGGGCTACAATCCAAACGCAAATGCTCATCCTCCAGCTCAGACTCCTGCCAACCCAGGGAAGAGGCCTGATTCCTGGGGGAAGGAACAAGGAAACACCAAGAGGACCCCTATGGCTGCTCTGAGGGGTCACTCCTTTAATGAAAACTGGACCCACCACAACCAGGAGGAGTTCAGGCCCAACAAGCTACGCACCCAGATGAGCTTCAATGAGATGTCTAGCCAGAACCAGGGGTTCTCTGACAAGAGGAGCATCAGCCTGCATGGATTCCAGAGGGATGGCAGACCCCCACTAACCAGGAGGAACCCCATCAATGCAATGAGCTTCAATGAGCCCCTCACCCCTCTCGAACAGACTCCTCGTGGATCCATGGATTCCCTGACTATGTCCAATGCTACAGGTGCGATGATGTAAATGATACAGCATGATACAATATGATATAATGCCAAATGATATGAAAATGTGACATGTGATTTCTGGTTTTTAACAGGTAACTCTCTGGATGGGGTCAGTAAGCGGCAGGAGCATTTATCTAGGTTTTCCATGCCCGACCTGAGTAAAGACTCAGGTGTAAATGTGTCTGAGAAGAGCAACATGGGCACCCTCAGCTCCTCAGTCCAGTTCCATAGCACAGAGTCGCTGTCCTCCTCTCGCCCCTACAACAATAACATGTACGCTCCACTGAGAGTCGGCTACCCGCTGCAGTACTGGGATGGCCCGCAGCCGCTGGGCTTCGACGGCAAAGGTCGTGTTGGGGTGATGGGCAGCAGTGGAAACCTGCGGATGCCTCCCATGAGCGACAGAATGCCACGCCGACGCATCAGCGGGCAGGAACCTGTGTCGCAGCAACAGCAGCCACAACCAAGACGCCGCAAACACCACCGTGGAAACCACGGTAATGGGCAACACCGCAGTGGCCGCCATCACAAACGCTCTCGCCGCTCCCGCTCTGATAATGCCCTGCACCTGGTGGCGGACCGGCCCACTCAAATGGTAGAGCCGCCTTACCGTCGTGTCCAGGAGGATTATGATCGCTTCCCCCCTGGTAATGCTGCTCGGGAGTTGTTTGGTCTGGAACCAGGTGGGTACAGACAGCAGCCCCACCGGCCCTGCCCCCGCACCACATCCGATCTCACCCTGCAGAATGCTGGCTGGCAACCTGTGGGGCTGGGTGGGCCATGCTGGGGCGATGGGTACATGGAGGCTGCTGACCCATGGTGCTCCAGCTGCTCCTCTTCCTCCGAGTCTGAGGGAGATGAGGGTTACTTCCTGGGTGAACCAATCCCTCGGCCTGTGCAGCTTTGCTACATCAACAACGAGGAGCTGCGCCATCGCTACAGCCCCTCTGGGATACCTGGCCATCACGTACCTCTGCACGGACCGATTCATGGCCAGTTGCACAACCGTCAGAGGAGGAAGAGCAAAAACTGCATAATTTCCTAGATTTAGAGCAAAGAGATGGTGAGGGATGAACAGGAGAGTCAAAGAGATAAGAGAGAGAGGTAAGGAGATGGTTAAAGCAACAGAGAGGTGGAACAGAGGGAGTGGGAAGGTGAGAGTGAGACAGTTGACAGTGAGAGTGAATAGAGAGAGAGAGAGAGAGAGTGTGTGTGTGTGTGTGTGTGTGTGTGTGTGTGTGTGTGTGTGAGAATGTGTGTTGGGGTTGAAGAGCGAAACGGCCTATTTTTTGTGCTTGTGAGCTTACACAACTCTACACTGGGTAGTGTTTGTGTACACCTACACAGAATGATCTAATCATAAGAGGAAGCTCAGCTGGCTTACACAACAGAAATGTTTACAATGATAAGAGATCAACTCCTATGATGGTACCAGGAAGCACGGATGAATTTGACTACTAAATATACTGTGGTCAAGGTAAATAACATGATGTATGTGTGTGTCTGTGCGTGTATCCATGTTACGGAGAGATCGAACAATTCCTTTACAGTTTGGAAAGGGAAGAAAAACTGGTCAAACTGCAGTGATTTGACTGTTGATGTCGCAGCTCAGTGATCCAAGCACTGGGCAGTAAAACTTATTCTATGTGGACAAACCCGAAATTGTGTTGGGATAGTGAAAGTTACGTGCTAGATTCCAAGCTATGTCATTGTTTACCTCAGTGGAATCCAAATGCTGCTGGAATATAGTGTTGGCTCGCTAGCCCTGTTATCACCTTGTACAAATAGTCTGTTGAACTTTGTGCTCTACATAGCCAGCTCTCCATGCTTTAACAAGGACGGAGAGCCAGACAGCCTCTGCTCCTTGACCATTCAGGCACAGTAACGTCAGGTATGGTCCCGTTTTATCTTCTGCAACATGCTTTGTTTTTTGAGAGTTACCTATAGATGATTAACAATAATACTACTAATAATAATGCCAACAATACTAATAATAATGCAAATAATAATTATGATAATATTAAAGAACAATACCTGTTAAATGTATATATAGTAATAAACATAATAAAGTAATAGATGTAGTAATGTAAATGTTATGTACATATGGTCTTAAATATTTATATATTTTGTAACTAAAGAATCATTATTTGTATAACATGATGTAGAGATAGGGAGACTTGCATGTTGATTTGTTGTTGTTGTCTCATACTGAAAATAAAGTGTACTTCAATGAACGACCAGCAAGTTGTATCTATAAGTTGTACTGAGATCTGTAGTTGGTTGTAACTAACATGTGATTGGTCCGCTTGAGTGAGACATTAGCGGTGCCCTAGAGTCATACTTTTCAGAAGAAGTCACCATTATTTTGTACACTTTAGACCTTTTGACTTGTGATAACAAGAAAAGCACAAGTGAAACAAATTTCATTAACAATGGCTCAGTTCCATAAAGTTTTTCCAGTAAGTCAGCATGCACAATTCCTGGACCCTGGAACTGGCTCACCTAAATGGAATGCAGTCGTTTTTAATTTGATCAATAACACCTGTGCTTTTCCTGCAATTACAGGCCAAAATGCACCAGGGAAATGGAGGAGCTGCTCATAAGTTCAAAAACACTAACCACAAAGTACAACTGAGGCTGATGGGAAAGTCATTAGTTTTTCAGGCATTCGGTCACAAACCAATTGGACAAATTAAAAGTTTTGGCCCGATGACAGAGCTCGAAGAACAGTAATGGGATAACCAAAGTTATTAGGATACATCCTCTAGGAACCATGAGTATCTGTGCCAATTTCCATTGCAATCCATCAGTAGTAGTTGAGATATTTCAGTCTGAACCAAAGGGGTGGAACGAGAGGCTGTCAGACCAACATTATCATCCCTAGAGCCATGCCACTAGTATGGATAAGAATATGTATTAAATCTTTGAAAAACATTTTGTATTCTCTTTTGTGAAGTTTAATTGTTGGTGGCTTTCCAAGTCGCAGTTCGATTGACATCTGTTGGAGCACATTTTGTATAATTTCCTGGTGAAGAATGTTGATTTTTTCTTTTCTTTTTTTCTGTATACTAATGGTAAAAAAACAAACAATATACTTACAGTTTATAGCACATACTGTATACAACTAGCATATAGCATGGAATTGGGACACCGGTGATCAAACTAGAGCCTGACAGATACTGGATTTTTTACTGGGTCAGTACTAATGATAATATCTGATGTTTGAGATTGATCAGATTCATGGTCAAATCTGAGGCAGCAGAGACCACGATAACCCAACTTTTAGTCCCTAGTATGATTCAAGCTCCAAAAACCTACAATTCCCATAATGCTGCTGGATAGCATTATTCATTATTTTTCATCATCCATGTCTTAGAGGAGGACTCCTCATGATGAGTAAACTTCATGTATTGTAGTGGAGTGCCCCTTTAAGACCTGTGACCAACATTTATATTATCAATATTATGATAAGCCGATATCTACCATGCTTCTGTATCAGTCAGGCTTTAGCTCAAACATAGAAATAAATCTGCAGCATTTCCTCTTTGTACTCAGAACAATGTGTGACCTACTCACCTACTGACCCATTAATGTATTTCCTGCTATGACTTCATTTTTCTTGCCCGGGAATAAGTCACTGAAAATATTTTAACCACATGATGTTTAATATGCTGTATACAAAATTAAATTATTGGAAAGCAAGTGATCATAAATTAAGCACGTTAGTCGGATGTAAAAATACATTTTCAACCTCTTCAGAACATCACATACAACCAGTGTATTTTGGCATCATCATCATCATCACATTCTCAAAATTATAAGCAATATGAAATTTCCAAATCACAGTCAAAGTTTTCTTTCATTTTTCCACCAGTGAGGAGGGGGAACTTTGTCCAGGCAGCAGGCAAGAAAGTATTAATAAGAGCTTATTACTTCTACTAGCAAATACAAAAAACAAACACAAAAGCAGTGTTCAATCACCTGAAATAAAATTCTCCTACACCCTTACCAGTGGGATCAGTGTTAGGAAGACAGGCTTGATGAGTGTGTGTCTGATTAGTGAGACAGCTCCCTGGAGTCATAGTCCTCTATAAATTTCTCCATGGCCTCCACGCAGCGCTTGCCGATGTCCCTGAGGTTCTCCTGCAGCGACGCCTGAATGGGACGTTCCAGCGACTGATCCTTTTCTATGAGCATCTTTGCCACAAGGCCAAACATTTCACATTCCTGATAGTACACCTGTAAGACACACACACCCATGGTTTTAGGACAAATGCTCCGAAAGTGAAGAGTGAGGCAGGGCAGGAAAACAGATAAACAGGGAGGGAAATGAGAGAGGACAACAAATGAGCTGAGTGGTCTCGTCATGCGTTTCTAATTACCATTGAATGGATTAACAATCCATGGAAGCGCTCACATGCAAACTGGTCAGTATTGTGTGTGCGTGTATACAGAGTTTTGTGGACATTTTTGCATAAGCTACATGTTTCCAGCTTTCTTGCAATGACTCTAAAATCCTGCAACCATGGAGATATGAAAAGCAAGAGGCCATCTTTTCCGTCAAGTGGGTGGACACATACACTCATACACTCTTTCACACAAACATCGAGCCGATGAGCAGAGCCTCATGTGACGTCTGTCACATTGAAGACGGCATTAAAGCACGTGTTGGAGCCTCCTGTGATACAGGTGAGCCACAATAAACAGCCTCACTTTGCATTTTTGATCACTTAGAAAAACTAAAAGAATAACACCATTGATCACATCAAACAATGAATAAGACCTTCTTTGTCAGGCTCTGCAACGTGAAGAAAATGACACCCCTGTTGCCTGAGGCTCAGCATTTCAAAATTAATGTTTATACTACAGAAATCAAATCTTTTTTTCTTGTCTCATGTCTCCCAGCGGTTTCCAAGATCTTTCCTGTCACTCTTTCTCTAATCCCAGCTTCTTTTATCTCTCCTCTTCCTCTGTCTGCTTATGACTAACCCTTCTCCCAAGGTGTGAGTGTGTTTGTGTAATGACACTCCTCTACCTCATCTATCTCTCTCCTCTTCTGCTGGATGGCTCTGTCTCGTGCCACCGTCTGGCTCGCAGCTGAAGGGAGCTCCCTGTCTCTGCTTCGTTCTTTGCTTTTGGTCCCCCTGTGATCTCTCTCCCTGCTTTGATTCCTGTCGTTCTGACAAACCTGCAAAAAGAAAAAGGGGACAAAAGTTGCATTGACACTTGGCCAAAAACATGCATTGCACACATTGATAATGACTGAGCCGCTAATGACCAAAAGATGACTAAAGTGAAGTTCCACATGTCAACTTGTAACACTGAGGCAAGTGAATTATAAATGCAGAATTTGTTCTGACTGCATATGTATTCAATGGCAAAACAGGTATATATGTCTGTTTTGCCATTGAATATTTATATATAAAGAAGATGGAAAAGGGTTGTTAGGTAACAAAAGTAAAATTGGTATTACTTCCTAATAAGTAATGAATTAAATATAATTGTTTAATGGTTTATAAATTATTTGTTAATGATTTAGAGTTTAGGTAGCTCATCAGAATAAACAGAATAAATAAATCAGAATAAAAGTTATTTTGCCATCAATGCAGCACTAGCAACTCTCATTAAAGCTGCTATAATCAGTGTTTTTAGATAACAAAGGATCAAATGTGTACATGTAATGTGAAAGGGATCACTTATGGTAACAAATTCAGAGAATTATCACTCGACAGCAGTTCCTCTCAGCGCATTTAAGCATCTTTAGGCACACTGTTTTGACTCTACAGCCCACAATTTTACTGTTTTGGTTTGTTTTGTTGTGTTGTTTCCATATCCAACAGCAGCTTTCAACATAAAAGCTTTAAAAACCCACTTTACACTACCTCCCCAGAACCAAAAAGGAGACAATTAGCAACGAGTTGGTGAACATCGAGGAGCATTTAGCAGCTTAAAGAGCCAGATATTTAACTCAGGAACTGGTGGAGACCAAAAACAGAGCTAAAAGGGGAGTGAATATTGGGGGTACATTCATCAGGTGGTCAGAAACACACCTCAAAATGAATTATAATGCTGTTGTATCTGCTGGATGTGTAAATAGGCAACTGTTTGTTTGTTCATTTTCACATTCTGGGCTACTGTAGAAACATGGCAGTTGAACATGGTGGATCCAAAGAAGAGGACCCGCTCCCTCTGTAGATAAAAACGACTCATTACTGTTGTTTTCACAGACATTACTGTAGTGCAGCATCAGGAAATATTAATGACTAACATGCTAAGATACTTTAGCTGTTGTCAGTGTTAGTCCTTGTATTAAAAGTTAATCACACAGATTTTACCTTTAGGCATTATTAAAAAGCCTATGTTATCACCAGCTACAGTCCCATTTAGTAACACAACACTGATTGGAACAGTGAAAATCTTGAAATAATAAATTCTTTGATTCCTCCTCCTCTTCACTTTAACTTCACTGCAGCACTGACCAGCAATGATTCATCATGTGCTGCTCTGCTCCTTGTGTTTAGGTCAGCCAAGAAATTTATGCGACCATGTGATTTCAGCATTTCCTGCAGCACCTGGGCTGTTTGCATTATAGATAAGACGGTCTCTGCTATGAGCTCATATTTAATGAACCAAAACACCCTGTACAATGTATGAAACGTACAAATAACATCAATCAATAGACGAATGGATGAAAATAATCCGTAGTTGCAGACCTTCTTGCTACCCTGTTTTCTCAAGTTGTATATATGACATGAAATTTCCTTCCAATCACTTTCATCTTCAAATGTATTTATATGCCCATAAGGATAAAATTCAAAAATTTCAAACAAAACACATTACAATAACAACATTCAGTTTAAAAAAAATACATTTATATTTTGATAGTATATTAGGTCATTTTCAAGGAATTGGTGGGCAGCTATATTTTTTCACATTTCGTAAGAAAATTGTAAACCAGAAGGGGAGAAGCAGAGCAGGTTTTCTGCTTGTGAACTTACAATGAACTGCACGTCCTTGTCTCTGCTGGAGGTGGACCTTGGTAAGAAAGCCCTAGTAGCTGGAAAACAGACAAACCACACAGTCAACACAACAACATAAAAAGAGAATTTGTGTCTACCTGAAACACAATTATATATATTAGAGGGCCTTTGTTCTTTGTTTACCAAACCTATAGGTACCTACAGTTATTTATGAGCGTATCTTTAGGTCACCACTCATGTTTAAAGCTTCCTAATCATTCTCTCTGTCTCTTCAACCTCCTGTTAGACAAATTAAGTATCAGCATCAAAAATCAAAAGATCTTTAAGCAGAATCTGCTGATATGTGGGAATTGTGCCTTGTTATGTTGTACTGCAGTATGTGAAGCAATAGTTTTGTTATGGCTCATTATATACTGCTGGCTAGTCTCTCTCTCTCTCTCTCTCTCACTCTCACTCTCATATACACACAAATCCGCGATGAGTCACCATCATCGCACCATCACTCAGGCACACAAAAAACCTGTTCCACACTCACACATACACAAACACACACCTCCACAGTGCTGCAGTGTGCGCACACATACAGTGCCTGAGTGCAAGAGAAGATAAAAACATACAGTACCAACAGCTCAGTCGTTAAAAACAACATAGCTACCACTTTATTCCAGGAAAGGATCAACAAAAACATGGGACTTCAGTTAGTGTTAAAACCAAGGAAACACAATCGTAACAAATTTTAAACCCCTCTTGTTTACTTCTAGACTCTTCCCACTGACAAATGATGAGGTAATTCTCAAGCATCTACGAGATCTACCTGCAACTAAACACACAGTTGAGACATACTGAGACATATAATGTATAATGGCTGGACTACTATCAATTCATTGCTAAGAGCATTGACATAATCCATGTGTGTTGAGTCCAGGAAGAGCTTCTTAGTGATTAGTATTATGTAACACTGGTTTGTTGCTACCAGAGTGTGACTACCTATCCACCACCAGATACCACGATGAGCAAATGCCCTCCAAATATTTGTATTGAAAAGTGTTCATGAAAATGTGCACGTGTGTCACTGCTTGCTTATACTGCCACCCAATGGTCATTGAATAAAGTGCATGAAGATACTGTATAGATTGTAAAGTATATTATTTAAATTAACAGTATATGTATGTGTAAATTAAATTAAATACATTATAATGTTTGATTTTTGTTGGGACTGTGTAAAGGGGTTATTTGTTTATGTTGTTTGTGGTGTTCTATTAAACTGTAGTGTACTGTGTATGTGCTTCTAGGTTGACCAGGTGTCCCACTTTATGTGGAACTGGACAGCATTTTTATCCCTTGTCCCCCGTCCCACGTCCCACATACTGAGACGATGTCCTACATTTTGACTGACTCTAGTTTTTAAAACTCAAATCACTGTAGGACAGACACTTTTTCTAAAATCTGTTTTTAGTGGCTGGCATCACAAGCTATGCAGAATTAGGCGGAATATGATGGAATGTACCAAAGAAAAAGGAAGTGCTACTTCTAACTGGGTGAGGCTGATGGAAGGCGACTATTGCATATGACCTGCGAAACTTCAGCTTCCTTTTATGCTTACTATATTTATGCATAGCGTATCAATGCATAGCCTATTGTGTGCTACTTAATCACCCAGAGGGAAAAGACAGAAATGTTTATTTTTTAGGTTAAATAGACATATCAAAAGTTTAGACTACCTCCCAAAATGGGTAATGTGTCTGACATTGTCCCACACAAACATACTCTTTGTCCCACATTTGGTTTGTTAGGATCTGGTCACTTTATGTGCTTCTGTGATTGCGTCTAACATGGACGTGTGTGAGAGAGGCTGAGTCTGTTTTCCTGTTTATTCATTTATACCTATACTGTGTTTTGCATGGAGAAGCTTAAAATAAACTCCCTGCTTAATAAGAACCCAAAGAGTCAAAAAAAAGTGTAACAAGGGGGTCATGTGTCAGATAATTATTATTTAGCTTCCGGTTGTCTCTGGTGGTGGTCTGGTAATATGTTACTCCCATAATAGCTTTCACAAGAGTTTTTATGCATGCATAATAGTAGTCAGACATAGTCTATTACTTGTCCAGTCTGCATAATATAAAGCAACTCTTACCTATCATAATTACTATTACATTTCCATACTTATTCATATGAATATGAATGAAATATGTTTTGCTTTTTATAGTCATGAACCAAAGGTATGTACAGAAGATATATGAATGAATGAAAGATGAAAGATATTTTTATCTTGCAGTTTTTTTTTTTTCTTGAAACAGACATTTTTCACAGCAGACATTTTGACATGTCACAGTGAGAAAAGCACAAGCTGGTGCTATGGTGTTGTGACACCAGCACTTTCAAAGAAACATGGTTCCACACTTTTTCCTTAGATAGTCACTGACGAAATTAAACTAAAATAAAAAACAGTACTTCAGAGAGACTTGCCCATACATGAAAACCAATAGGTCAAGTTGATCAACACTGATTCAGCGGGCATCCAGCCAATCACAGCCATTTGGCCAAATCACCAGGTCAGGAAGAGTAGACAAAGTATTCAGAAATGGGGCTGAAATAGGCTGCCCTAGTTCTTGTGCTCCCTCAATCATCCCAAACTCAAGCCAGCTGGCCAAAAAACTTAATTCAAGCTAATGGTAGCTGACATTATTTAGTTACCCCAAATAAGTCCACCCACATTTCAACTGAGGCCTTAGTTACAGTTTCATTTTCATTTCAGCAGATGAACAGTTTTAGGTTCCTGTCATGGTTATCTCACATCTCCACACTGGTTAAGAAAGCACAGAAACAACTGTATTTCTTAAGGAAACTTAAGAACAAACTGGCATTGGATGTGCATAGCCCAGGACAGGAGGACTCTCCACCCCTGAATAAAGGTTTTACAAATAACATTAACGATGGAATTCAGCCATCATTTATTTCATTATTTACACCTGTGCTTCACCTACTGTGACATGTCAAAACCCTGCAGTGAAATAACCTGTATATGTGGTCCTCCATCGCTTTGGAGCCTATAATATACTCACAGTTTTAATGTTCCTTTTAATTGAAACTATTCTTTAATAACATTACTGAATTCACTACATTAAAACTGTGATGGCCTCATTTGAACTTTCATCAGCGCTCGCTTTTGACCCCTGCAGTGTAAATCCAGTCAGACATAAACACTTTTGTTTCACCCAGGCAGGGCACTGTTAGCCCCACGCTTCATGCAGCCCACATCATCTTTGGTTTACAGCTTTAAAGTGGCTTATTTAAAGTATTACAAATTTGTAATAGATAGTAAATGTATCTAATTGCATGCCCTTGTGCATAAGAAATGATGTAATATCCCTGCTGTCTGTAATACTGTAAAATATTCCACTGATCTCTTCATAGATACATGAAGTGGTGTGTGTATTATTATTGGGTTTTACAGACTTTTGCTGCAGACATACAGTAAACGTACGGTTTTGTTTAGAGGGTGAACTCCCATCAGTGCTCTCCCTCTGCTCGTACCGCTCCTTCTCCTTCTCTCGGTCCCTCTCCCTCAGTGCGATGTGGTTAAGTTTAGGCTGGAAATGATCTCGCCGGTGGAAGTAACCCCGGGGCTGGAAGTGGTGGTACCTCTGTTTGCTAAAGCCAGGTTTGTAGAATGAGTGGTCATCCCTTGGAAATCCACACCATTCGAGAGGGGGAAAAAAAGCTTTTTAAGAGCAGCCAGAATCACCCTCAACCCCATTATCAATATTTTGCAGGCAGCTCAGTAAAAAATGTTGCTATCATACAGAAAAAGAACAGACTGTAAGAAAAAACAAATACAGTGCTCCTCATTCCAAAGCTTTTAATCTTACCGAGGTCTGTAGAATCGCCCTCCGAACTTGGGTTTGTAGGAACTGGATGACCATGACCTCGGCCTGGATGGACTTCGCACTCTTCTAAACGCCCGCTTGTCATCCTTAATTGACATGGGTAAACCAATTTGTTACACAGTGGTACTTGGCAAAGACAGCAGAACAATTGTATAGTAATTTTGAGACATGATATCTGAGAACAGAGAGTACCTGAGGGGGAGACGCAGTGCTTTCAGCGGGCCTCTTGTCAGCGGACTCATCACTGTGTTCCCTGTGCCGCAAAACGGAGCCCTGAAGAGAGAAAGCACCATATTATTCAGAGTTAATATGGTGTTACAGTATAGGCACTATGGTTTAGTATTACAGCTGAAACAATTAGTTGATTAGAAAATTAATTGGTAATAATCTTTCTAATTTTTCAAGGAAAAATTACCAACATTCCCATGTTACCAAATGTGAGAATTTGATTAATAGATATTTAAAAAATATTGGATATATTTATCAAGAATGAAAAAAATACTAGTTGCAGTAGGTTTCTTGTTGTTGATGTTTTTAGTGCTTGGAAGTATAAGATGATCACACTGTACATTGCCAGTGTTGGGGAAGCTACTTTGAAAGCACAGCTTTAGCTGCCAATTGCTTCACACTTGAAGAAGCTGAACTACAGCAAAGCTACCCACGAGGAAATCAAATTGCAGATGGATGTGAAATATAATACAAAAAAGTCACATACCAGAAAAAAATTCCAGTCAATTGAGTTTATTGCAAAAAGCGCCGACTTGTTCACATATTGTACATAAACTGAAAAAATAAAATGCCCCATTATTCATGGTAAAGTGCAGGAATGTTACCTTTGGTTTTCTATACAACATCAATCAGTGCCTTCCAGAAACTAAAGTCTAGGTGGGACTATTGCACCAAGCAGGATTACTCAGTTGGACAGTTAACTCTGGACATTTGTTAATAAATAGCAATACAAAATACTACTTATACTATAATAATAATACTATAATGACACCTATGCCTTCACAGCAGTCAGGATGAAAGGAAAAGGGTACAGGGGCTGGTCAAAGGTGTTCCAATATTGAAAGAGAAACTATGGTAAAACCTATATTATTATTAAGTAATTGAATCACGATGCAGATATGAATGTAGCTGAACTACCAGCATACTACTGCAAAATGTTGTTAAACTACTAGTTTAATTACACGTAGTTCATTCCTCCCCAACACTGTACACTGGGGCCTTAAATATAGTGTTAAACCAAGGATTGGGAAATCTAATTTCCATCTGCTTGAGCATGAGGAGAGTAATTTATTCTTACACAAGATAACAATGGAGGAGAGGTATAGATACCTGTTTCCAAAAATAGTCTCGCACTCACCTTTTCTGTCATTATGCAGTCTGGTGTGAGTCATTATTATGTTTCTATAACATGTCTCTCTCTCTCTGTGTGTGTGTGTGTGTGTGTGTGTGTGTGTGTGTGTGTGTGTGTGTGTGTGTGTGTGTGTGTGTGTGTGTGTGTGTGTGTGTGACAGGCTACTCAGTACTGCCCTCATGTGCTTAACATTACACTTTTTTTTTTTTATTTAAATCTCCTGTAGTGTACTTTAATATACTCTGTTATCATATCTATGATGAGATAAGTACAGTTGTTGTTGGTGTCCTGTCCTGGAGCTTTTGTTAATGATTCAGCGGGTTTCAAATAAAATGGTATATCTGGTCAAGGGGAGGCGGGGTAGGGGGGTGAGGGCAAGTCACGTGACTAGCAACAGTACATGAATACACTTGAGACAACTGTCAGTATTATGATAGCTCTTCACTCCCAGGAATTTTTTTTTTTTACCTTGCTTTGAGGTGTGTCCTGTGGCGGTGTATGGTCCATGTCTGTGTGTCTGCAGCGTTGTTTAAAGCTGTGTGAAGGACACGCAGACTTTTTTATTTTTTCTCTCGAGCCCAACAGACCAGGAAGCGCGTGCCACCGCTCAAATTACTGTCCACGGTAACGTTACATCTGGAAAGTGAAATCTTTACATGTCTGTCTCCCCTCGCAGACTTTTAAGTTAAAACGTTTGGAGTCGAATATCTCACGATGTGGACAAACAAATGTGCGCCTACTCTGGTCTCCGCAGGAAAATAACGAAAGATACTTTTACTTCCTTTTTCTACAGCCACCCAATCAGATCAGCCTGCGGTCATATAAACGCTTATCGAAACGAAAACTTTCCGGAAAGCGCGCAGACGCAGTGGACCACACGGACACCTGTTTACACCTTTAATTTAAAGTCCGACTACTTGTTGTCCTGTGAGTGTGGTAAACCCAACGATGGCGCACTTTAACGACCATAAAACATGTTTATTGCAAAGTTTGACAATTGATCAGTGGCGCAATGTAACTAAATACATTTATTCTATAAGTACTGCACTTAAATACAAATTTGAGGAAGGGAGTCTTTTCTTTCATGTGTTTCATATGTGTTTCTCATGGGACAGCGATGCTAAAAACATAATGATCTCATATTAATCATTTTTCACGATTTTACTGCATAATAAATACTTTTGATGCTTTAAGCTGTACTATATATATATATATATATATATATATATATATATATATATATATATATATATATATATATGTATACTTAAAATAAATATGACTTTACTTGTAGTGGAGTATATTAATAATACTTCTTCCAACAGTACCTACTGTTACCCCAAATAGTATGATTTAGACATTGCTTGTTAAACTCTGTAGTCCTACACCACACACTTTTCAGATAACAACAGAGAGGAGAGTTATTCCTGTTTCTATAGACGGTCAACCTCGTATTTTTACCATAATAGTCGCCTGTGAGTGAAATAAAACTTGTTATTGTATTACTCAGTGTCTTCAAGGACATCCTGAAGGTTCTATTGTTGCCAAACTGTAATAAATTATACTTCTGTTTTTTTTTTTTTTAAAGTCTTACCCACAGGGCTTTTTTATACAAATATGATTCAAATCTGAGCTATGAATAACACTGCAGAGAATTTCCTTATTGTAATAGATGATGTTTCAGGACTTGTGCTCAAAAGTTCTTGTGTCCAGCTCACATGGACTGGTAAGACAGCAAAATAGTGTTGCAGGGACATTATTTTCATCCATATAAGATTACAATGCAACCAAAGAATTTTGTCTTCTGTCCCAGGCGTGACAAATTGGTCTTAAATGATCATATAATGAACCATAAAACATGAAATGAACTTCATTCTCTTCCAAATAAGTGTACCACAAACAAACATAAACAGATATATTTCCTTGTACAGCAGGAAAAACTTGCAATGCGCTTCATGAATATTACCCTGTAACCAGTTTACAGAATGTCCTTGCAAAATTGTCCCAGTTAAAGAATGTTCCTCATAAACTGCAATTCAGACATGTTTAAAAGTCTGTTCTCACAATTATGTCTGACATTGGGTCCCATTCCATGTCACCACTTATGCACACAATAATTTAATTTACAAGATTAAAGCAACACCACAGGGATCTGAAAAAAGCCTAAAGAACTGTAAAGTAAGGTCACAATAAACTCACTGACAAGACTGGCCTTTAATCAAAGTGCTAAAAGTGCCGATCGTTTAGGGTATGTAAAGTGTTTCAACTCTGAAACATTCATTTATAGGACAACAGACATTTCTGATGCAACATGTTAATGCATAATGATACAATGTCATTACATGTGTTTCAAAGAAATAAGATAAATATGTGTTAAACCAGACACAAATGTCTTAAGTGTGAATTATGAACTCCAGTCTCACATTTCAATTGCAGTAATGCTCAGGTCTGACCTGAATACCACAACAAGTAAGGATATTTTGTTCTAGGAAAGACACGGTGAGTACAAAGAATAGGTGAAGCCGTGACATCCCAGAGCTTTAATGTTGCTCACTCCACCCACTGTCTCCACCCATTACACCTCCTCCTCCTCCCTAGAGAGAGAGAGAGAGAGAGAGAGAGAGAGAGACTGGGCGAGAGAGAGAGAGGTATGATTAAAACCAGACAACTTAAGAGCAGTGTTGTCCTTTACTCTTTCTCTTCAGCTTGTGGCAGACTTAAATCATTCAACAGAGGCCTGTTTGGAAAGGTAATCCCGAAACCAATGTAATACTAAAGCTCTCTTTCCTTCTGCCGTTGTTGCAATGTTTGGGGTTGAGAACTTGTTGGAGCAGGTTTTCTTTCTTGTCGGGTCAGTTTTACTAATTGTCCTGTTTGAATGTTGGGCTGTTCTTGTTACGTAAGAATTTGTACTATAATGTGGCTGTTGGAAGAAAGGTATAGTTAGACTGGTATGGACAATTGTCTTGGTTTAATTCAGTAAACCCTCAGGGCATGAACAAGTACAAACCTATTAATGAGAGCAACTTCTACATGTGTCATTTTCTCTCATTTGCACAGTTGTGTGGTGTATTTTCCTGGTGTCACATACCTCTTTTTAAAAATCCTTTTTAACAATTAGGGGGAGGGGAAGACAAGAGGTGGACACATTGTTATCAGCTTCTCAGTTTCAGTTTGCTTCATCATTTCTCCATTGATTTATTGATTTTAATTAATAAGTTTACTTTATGAGAAAGGATTTTTTTATATATCATTTTTCCCAGCATCAGCAGTGAAATTATCCTGTCATCAATCAACACCTTGAGTCCCAGCTAAACTGATATTTAAAGTACGAGGCTGGCCACAAGAAAAGACATGAGGTAAGAACAAACTTCCATGTAGCATCCTGAGAATATGCTTTGGCTGATAGTGGTCTATATTTTTGAAACTGTCAACAAATCCCATGAAAAGACCAAATTAGTTTGTCTCTCTGTATCCTGTCTGTGGCACTCAGCCCTACGTTCATGACTGAAGCTATAAATCTTTGTTGAAACTGAATGTTTTGCCAGTTTATGAGAACAAAAACTAATGTAGTCTAATACAACAACCTTAAGAGGTGTTGGTTCAACTGTACAGTTATTTTGCAGGATGTAGTTTGTTACTCAAACTTGAGTAAAGAGTGCATTTATTGAGGACTCAGCTGACCATTTGGTGCATTACTGAGTATTTATGATGCAAGATGGTGAATGTAGGATCAACTCAAAGTAAATATAGACCCCTGGGTCATTGTAATGGAGGAATCAGTCAGCCAGTGTAACAATATGGTTCTTTAATAGGCTATATCAAGCTTTGGCTACACTTATCCTTTTTGTCTCTGTGCATCTATGGTCTTAAAATGGTTGAATGTAAAACAGTCATGTTTTACAGGGTTCAAGCTGTCTCTAGAGCGCAAATTCTAGAAGAGTTTCGTTTCCGATGCCTGGAACTTGCAGCCAATGACAACAGAGGCTTTAAACAGGAGTTTGAGGTATGATTTAAAGTTGAACTTTTGGATTAGATTTCTGATTTATGAAGCTATAAATTTTAGTCATGTGTACTAATGTCTGGTTCTGGGAAGGAGCTCAATGATGTTGGCAAAGACCTCCCGACGAGAGCGGGGGACTTGGAGGCCAACAGAGAAAAGAACAGATACCCCTACATATTGCCATGTAAGTGCAAAGCTTACCATACTAGAGCAGATTACAGCTCAAAAACTATATGTGGCAATGCATGACTTTTATTTGTCTGCTTTCTATTTTCTGACCACATCTGGTTATAGATGACCACTGTCGAGTGAGGCTGTCCATTCAAAACTCCCATCCACACACTGACTACATCAACGCAAATTTTGTGCCTGTAAGAACTCTTTATTTTGTCTGTCATTACTCTGTCTACTTGCTTTACCACCTGTCCGTCTGTCTCCACACCTGTCTGCATCTATTAATGACTGTGTGTCTGTACTCAGGGGGGAGGATCAGAAAGAGACTTCATCTGCACCCAGGGTCCTTTGCACCACACCATGGCCGACTTCTGGAGGATGGTGTGGGAGCAAAACATCAGGATAATCGTCATGGTGACAGCTCTGAGACACAAGGGCATAGTGAGAAAGACACATTGACTTTGTGTGTCTGTGCTGGTGTGTGTGTGTGTGTGTGTGTGTGTGTGTGTGTGTGTGTGTGTGTGTGTGTGTGTGTGCCTGTTGCATGCTCATCTCTATTGAGCTTTGTTTGTTCTAATGACATATTTGTCCTTATTTAAAAGGAACTGATGAACATTTTGGGGAAATACTCACTTTAGATGAGGAGATTGAAGTCTTTCCACTCTCATGTCTGTATGCTAAATAGAATGAGGCTATAGAGTGTTGCAGATGTCAGCATGTCAAACACAGAGATTTATATTCTCACTAGTCTGCCTTTACAGCCTTGTTGTGTACTCGTGCAAACTATTCTAACTCAAACTTTCCACATACTGTACATAATATGAGGACATTCCTCACGTCCTTAAATATCTGACCTTGTCCCTTATTTCTATGTGTGCAGGTGCTGTGTGACAAGTATTGGCCTCTGGAACGAGGGACAGTTTATCACGGACTGATCCAAGTGACGACAGTGACCCGTAAACAAGGTCCAGATTATTTTATCACCACCATTAACCTCAGACAGGTGAGCCAAAGACACATCGTTGGTACCTTCAAACTGCTGTTGACTTCTATGTGCACTGACCGCACCAGTAATCAATCAAAGAAGAAGAAGCCCTGGCTCGGATTAAAGGAAAGTCTTTGTGTTTCAGAGAGATTGCCCAACAGACAGGATAATCACACACTACTACTACCCTTCCTGGCCGGATCGGGGCGTCCCTAAAAACGTATCCTCACTCTGTGCCTTCACTGAGCATGTGCGGCAGAATTTAGAAGCCATTCCTCGCCTGGGGCCGGCTGTGGTGCACTGCAGGTCTGACCTTCAGCCCATCACCCTCTCCTTCTGGAAACACATTACTTGCTTATGTTAAAAAAAAAGTGCCCCTTTCAGTATAAACAGAGTTATTAGATAGCGCATGAGACAGAGTTTAAAGTCAATCCTCTGTTTTTGTGTTTCAGTGCAGGTGTTGGGCGGTCAGGGACATTTGTGGCATTGTTGTGGCTGATGCAGCTGTGCGTGAGGGGCATCCGGCCTGATATCCGGGCTGCTGTGGAGGATCTGCGGTTACATCGAATGTGGATGGTCCAGAATCTGGTTAGTCCAGTACTGACACTCACCTGCAGTAGTGGAAGAACTATCAAAAATAGATTTGATTTCGGCCTTCAAGATCACTGTCATGACTGTCAGTGAAGATTCATAACTCAACTGAAATGAGTTGTTACCAGAATGATGTGAGTTGATTTAAGCTGTTAAATTTCTGGCAATTTGAGGCAATAATGACAAATATCAGGAGAAGATTGAGATTTATTAAATGAGCTCAAAGATCCCTGCAATGTTCAGATTCGGTTCTCATTATCTTGTGATATCAAAGCTAGTTTTCTTAAGATAACAAAATAATTGCCTTGTGATTTCGAGATAACGGCCTTAAAAAAAAAGTGCAAGCACAGCCGTTAGGCATGCTAAGCTAATTGGCTGGAAGTAGACTTATATTTAACGATTATATTGACGATTATAAGAGTTGTATCGTATTCTCATCTTAAAAAGGAATCAAAGTATTATCTAAAATGTCAAACTATTTCTTGGATGTACTGTATAACAATGCACCAAAACATGCTCATCATAAGCTAATTTAATCATAGAATATTTTCCTTTGAAATATAGTAAAGACGCAAGTAGAAAGTAGTACTCAAGGAGTACAATACCCCATAATCATTATTTAATAACTGTGTTTTCTACCACTGCTTGGCATACTATTACTGCAATTAATATTGAGTTAAATTTACCATATACCTCTTTGGACAGTAGTATTAAGTGTATTTAAATACATACCTGTATGAATCTGTCATCTCATCACATAAACACTGTGCGCTTTACTGTCTGATATGAATAAGATGAAGCATCCTAATTACCTGCTCATTCTACTGTGTGTATTCAGGAGCAGTACATGTTTGTTCATCAGTGTCTGCTACATTGGCTCAGTGGAGGAACCTCAGCATGGTGAGAATACAGAAATAAACTCCCAATGAGCACCAACACACATCAAATTCAATTTCAGCACAGGCAGCATATTATTATTCATTGTAAAGTATGATGACATTTTAATTAGGCGTCTTCTCTGTCCCAGCAGCCAACAAACTCAGGGAGCCAGTTCAGATATTAACCACCACATTCAGGATCGACCCCACAGCTCCTCAGCACGGGGGAACCGAGCAGGGAGGAGGAGACATCACCATAATCGACAGACACCTCCGTCAGACCAACAACAAAACACATTGCAGCAGATTTTACACCCTGGGAACCTATTGAGGAGGATTCTGCCTTCCTCATCGATGTTTAATTCAGGCTCACACACCTCCTGAGCTCAAATACTATAAAGCCGATAATACAAAAAACAAGCAAGACACTGCTGGTGGGTAGTAAAAAAAAAAAAAAAAAAAAGCCCTCATACAGCACCTGAGAAGGAAGGGGAATAACTGTAGAAATAATGCAGTGTATGCTGTATGACAACAGGCCCTGCAGGCAGAAAACTGGCCTGACAACATGCAAATAAGTGCTGGTTTAAAAAAAATAAAAAAAAACAGACGCAGCAGTTTGTATTGTTGCCATAAAGGAATATTAAGGAAAGAACCAGCTGTTCAGGTCAAACCTGTTCCTCTACTGTGGATTACTTAGTGTGAGATTCATAAGAACAATGATGACGCTGCCACCTGTGCGTGCAGACAGTGCTAGGGGTAATACTTAGAACCCTGTTAATCCAAAATGTTGACAGTGTACTACCAAATATGTTTGGACAATTCATTGTTTCTTTACCCTTTGTGTGCCTCCATTACTGATGAAGTGATGTTGTGGGATGACTTTTATTTAGGGTTTTCTTTTTTGAAAAAATCATTGTGCATCATTTTATATCACACAATGCAGTCAGTACTTAAGGATGCATGTGCAGAATTGATAGCAGACTTGCTAGAAAGGCAGACACATGGTATAGTGGCTGTACAAAAAAGGTCATGTTTCAAAAACACACAGGCACTGCCATTCTCCTTAGATGACTGAAACCCATTACAGTACATGAAGGAGCTATGAGTATTATACATTATAGAACATTAAGGGCTAACCCACTTTTTTTTTTTTTTAAAGAGTCTTTCATCTGTCATGTAATAAACATGTATGATACAATAGATCCCTCTCCAGGTGAGTTTTGGGGTTGGTGATGGACAGAAGAGAGTAAGGAGGATCCAGCAGCAATCAGCATCCTTCGCCCTCCGTCTGTAAGTGCTAGTGGCTGCGGGCTGAGTGGCGACACTGTATTGCAATAATGTCTATGTCCTGATGCGATTCGTTTGCTGCTGAGCTAGTCCAACAGAGGGTGCTACAGCCCAAGCAGCATCCACCAACAAGCGAGTAGTCTCCAGAGTTAGGGGTGTTTCCAAGTGCACTCAGCTCAGGAACAGACGAGAGTGAAATACAAAGAAAGAGGGAGAATTCACACAACTTGAAAAATTTGCTTTTAGCCTATGTTTGGCTACTTAATGCAGTCTTAATACCAGTGAGGTATTCACTGTGAGACTTAACCAAGGCAGATAGAGCAATGAAGAGGGATGTCTATGAAAAGCAGCATAGCACAGGCCAACCCCAGTGAAAATATATATGAAATATATTACAGATTAAAAGAAAAACGGGAAAGAAAATTAACAATTGTTCCAGACTATTGGTAAGGAGAACCAACAGTTAAAATAACATTTAAATTAGAGTTCAGGTCCAATAAAAAGATTAGACACTACATCCTTTGGCCAAACAAAAAGAATAAAAACACGTGGTAAGGTTGAGAGATTGCCTCAGTAAGACAAATAATTATCTGTATCGGTTGTATGTGTATGTACAGTCCTTGTGTGTAAGATATGCTGACACATAATGAATATAAACATATACATGCCACCCTTAAAGACCACAAGAGGGTGTGAGAGAATAGAAAACTACTGATAATGAGCAATCAAAAGGCTGGGTGAAGAGAAAGAGGAAGAGTCTAGTCCATTTATTGTTCTCCTTCGGTCCAACTAGTGCACGCCCTCTGACATGTTAATGGCTTCCTGGATTTCGCGGACGACGAGGATGCGGGCAAGCATCTGCTCCAGCTGTTCTTTTGGGATTGGTTGAGTCGAGTACCAGATGGGGCTGTTCGGAGCCACCACGGGCTCTGGTGTCAGGTAGAAGGTGTCATTGCGACCTTTAGCGCTCTGCGGACTGACAGAGACACACAGTGTGAGCACGTTGTTAGGGTACACAGTAACAGATACAGTTCTAGCCTTCCTCAGCATACAATACAATTTAATTAAATTCTCTTTTTCTGCAACTAAGGGGGAGGATTAGTGGATGGTGTGCTTTCATATTAAATGTCTCTGCCATTTAATGCCTGAGTGAACAATATTGAACTTAAAGGAAAATTCAGTATATCTTTTTATTTTATTTTTAAAACCAGGCTTAGTCTTCTTGTGTAGAGCATTGTTTCCTCAGGGCTGCAACAATTATTTTTTATTAAGGATACATCTGTGGGTTATATTCCCTGTTTATCATTCAAAAGCAGCAAGTTTTCACAATGGAAAATAACTAATGAATGTCTAGCATTTTTAAAACAAAAACTAAATTAAGACCATGGTGCTTATAAAAAAAAGTGCAGTTGTGTTTACTTCATATGAGCAAATTCTTGCACTTTTGTAAGCACTGCAAGTTGGTGCGGTGTAGTATTATGTACTGTTTATTTCTGTATTGTTTTTCCTTCTGCCTGTGTCTACAACATTGCCTATACCATCACTGATGTTGGGTACCTGCCAATTGTAGACTAAATATATTAAATATGATTATGTTCAATTTTGTGCCAACACTGCAAATTTCCCTTTGGGATAACAAAATAAATTAAAATCACTCACTTTGTAGCATCTATTTTTTATAGTAGCCTTCTCCCTTTTCACAAGTTGTGAAGGCTGCTGACATTTTTATAAACAACAAAAGGCCAAAAGAAGTTAGTTGCCTTTGTTCCTGGGCATATAAGGAGGCAGAAAAACATAAAAATCATTCACCGTTTTAGAGAGGAGAGTTATACAGTATCCACGTTTTTGTCAGTTACCTAGCAACAGTCTTTTCACAAGTTGAATCACTTGAACACTGAGTGCAGCATGTACTCCACATCCCATGTCAATAACATAAACACAAGCGTTTTATTAGGTAGCAGCAGCAGCACCTCAAAAGAGAAACTCTTTGACACTCAACATGAACTGATAAACCTAACCCTGGCCTGAGAGAAAAACACTACATGGTAGCACAAAGAAGCATTTTTACCAGTTGTTTTCTGACAAAGTATACAGTTACATAAATATATGCAATGTTTTATTAAATAAAAACCATGCAAACATGTTGCACAGTCCTGATGAAATGTATTTCCACTTTAACTGATATCCCTTGTCACCTTAGGGCTGTATTATTTACCATTTGAAGAGGTAGAAATCGTAGAGCTTGATGGGGCATCGCAGAGGGTTCTCTGGGTCCTCCAGCTGCTCTGAGTACATGTCATCTGTGACTGAACAAGAAAAACATAGAAACAATATAAAAACATATATATATTTTCGCTTAAAATAGGGTTTTCTCTCGGCACGACAGCACAAATTCAATTCATGTTGCACTTGTACCTTTCTGTCCTATGAACCTCTCTGTTGACTTTAGGTATCGGATGCTGGTGCTCTTGTCTTTGGGGTTGTTGGGACTCTTCCTGGTGTGTCTCAGCACCTTGGAAAAGGCCACTTTTAGATGCTGATCCACTGTCTTCAGGTGAAAATACCTGTTAAAAAGGTATACAGTGTATAAATTGACTGATTTGGTCAGTGCGTGTTGAATAGTAGCCATACGGGGGCAGAGGGTAGATAAAGAATAACGACAGCAGTGTCTATTTGTTTTTGCAGGTTTTAACAACTTTTTTTTATTTTTTTATTTTTTTTAAGACCAATATGAAAGCAATCAAAGACCTATTTCACATTCACACAAACAAAAAAAGTATGAAGAATATAAAAGGAAAATAAGAGTCTTTCAAAAGTAATAATTTACAAGATTTCGATGCAGAGTTGCAGTGGAAAGACAGACACGTGCTTTGGTTTAATCTGAAGCACAATGATTGGGTGAGGGAAGACCGGCTAATTTAAAACCGGTTGCTTTCACCTCAATCGAGTGAAATCCCGTAGGCATTTTCACTGGTGTAACTGGAAAATTGGGCATCGATGTATGAATGTGGAAGACTGAGTGAGCAGCTGTTTGTGATAGTCTTTGCCATCACTGTTTGAATGTGTGTGAATGGGTGAATGTGGCATGTAGTGTAAAAGCGCTTTGAGTGGCCAGAAGACTAGGAAGACGCTGAACAAGCACAGTCCATTTACCATTTAACTTCATAATCCAATCATATTTGAGACCTGTCGAATCGAAGACTTTTTAAAGCCCTAAAATTAGGACCTTTGTCTTTTGCTGATACCTAGTGGGTCAGGATTCTATTGTAGATGAGTATTTGTGTACAGAGTTATACAACGGAAAATATTACTAGGTTTCAATTAAGCACCATAGTAGTAAACTATAGAAGTAAACATTGCATGAGGGAAAATGGAGCCACTCACTTGGTGTTGAAGAACATTAGAGTTGTGAGCAGCGTCGAGGGAGAATGAGCTCCCAGCTGTTTACATTCCCACAACATCTCCTCTGTCACATGGCTGGGGATAACATAACCTGGTAGAGGAGGTAAAGTGCAGATTATAAAGACCTGGCAGTTTATAATATCAGGCAAGCAACATAACGTGGTAGGTTTGTTTATTCATTATTGCACCATTTATTTGAGAAAATCAGTTGATAAAACATGAAGTTGATTACAGAGGAACACACACTGCAAGTTTGGAAAACAACTTTTGTCAACTCACCTAGTGGATGAATAGATGGTCTCCATGGCTCTAAGATCTGGTGCAGACTGTGAGCGAAGCGAGTGTAGTACTGATCTGAGAAAACGTCATCCACACGACCATTATCAAACAGATACTGCAGGGGAAAATTGTAGGAAACAAAGATGCACTCAAACAGCCTTTCCACATCAAAATCGACGCAACAGATGTTGAACGAAGAATCTGTGTGTTTGTGGGCATAGTGAACTTACTTTTTGTATGCACAGAAATACATAGTAGAGAACATCAGCCTCATAGGACTCGCCTTCCAGCCCCCGAGCCTCTGTTGTCATCAAAGAGAGACCCATGCAGAGCTCTGCTACTGCACATGACACCAAGTCCTCCTGAAAACGTAGCGCCTGGCGTCCTAAAACAAAAAGAGATTGGGTTGATAGATGAAAACAGAAAAGAGTCAATGGCAAACACATATAGTGTTTTGTTGTATATAAATAAACATTATGTATATGCACTTACGGCCAATTGGGGCCAGTTTATTTCTGTCTGATTTGTCCATTTCTGCATTTTTCCGCTGAGCCCAAAGCCGCCACACGTCTAGCCCCTCCTCTGGCTTCAGAGTGGCAGGCAGCAGCAGCTCCTGCACCTGCACTTGCTGATGGCCTTGGCCATCCACCTCAGCTACCACTGTCTGACCCTGCATAGACACAAACACACAAACACTGTTAGCATGTAATAAAAAAAAAAAAAACATGTCTGTATGAATATCTGGCTACGATAAAAAAAAAGAAGAGAAAAGCTCAACACCTGTGTAAGTACCTGTAGCTGTTGGGCGTCCTGCCCTGACAGCCCCTGTGTGTGCAGCACCTGCTGCTGTGGATCCCAAATTAGAGACTGTGTAGCGTTGGAGTAGCCCTGCACTGCCACTGGGATGTGGATGTTTCCATTCATCAGCTGGGCAGGGAACAGTGTGTTTGCGGATAGCGTGTGCACCACTTCTTCTTGGCCTCCCATTCCCCCAGAGCTTGTTATGCTGGAAACAGCCTGTGCTGTCTGACTTTGACTGGCAGGGATTTTCAGCTTGTCATTGTCAACAGTAACTTGTGTTGGCATTGTAGTCATTGTTGTAGTGTTTGTCCCTGCAACCTGCACTGTTCCATAAGCCTCCTGGGGGATGGCAATGTGTGTGACCTGCTCACGGCCTCCGGAACCAGCGGGAGCAGAATAGACAGGGATTGTCCAGGTCTCCCCTGTGGGACTGGTGATAGTGCCTGTAGCACTGTAAAGGTGGGAGCTGTCCACAGTTAGGAGGTCTGGCCGCAGGGACACGTAACTTTGCTGCTGCCCCTGTCCCTGAGGGATAGCGAGGACTGTGGCTACTTGCTGACCAGGCAGGGCATAGGACACAGTGATGGGCATGTCAACCTTACGCTTCTTGGCTGGCTGGAGGACACCTGCACCCTGAGATGTGGCAACGGTGGTTCCCAGTACCCTCCTCTCAGCATTGTCCTGCTGCTGGGTGGGAGAGAGGGCCCCCACTGTCTGGATTTGGATCTGTTGTCCTCCTGCAACAGCTGCCACCAACTGGGCTTGCAGCTAAAACACATGGGAGGCAGATGATAACTGGTAACTAAATTTAAACTCTGGCTGATGACAAAATTTGCAATTCTGCCATGATGATGTCCATGTGTACCTGTTGGTGCTGCTCCTCCGTGAGTTCCCCAGGCTGAATTAGCTGTGCTGTAGTCACCCCTTGAAGCTGTTGATGGGAACCAGAGGGCACTTGGAGGACCTGACCCAGCATCTGACCTTGCTGCTGGCCCTGGATCTGCACCTGAAAATAGAGATTTAGAGATATAAAGAGAAATTTAGTGGACTGAGGATTAAATTGAACAGGTTATATTATTAAAAACACAACACAAAAAGGTACAAACCTGCACTATCTGTTGCTCTGTATTTTGTTGTACAGACTGCTGCTGAGACGTGGACTCCTGTATCTGTTGCTGCTGTGGCTGGACCTGCACCTGAACCTGCATCAGAAGACAGCATCTGTCAGAAAGCTTCATTTTAAAGACAGAGCTTCTAAAGAGGTTTTGCTATGTGACCATTTAGTGCGTAGATTTACCGGACAAGCCAGTTCCAACAATGACCCTGCCACTTCTGTGCTGTCCGTGTAGATACAGTTAGACTCTTGTTGGTAGACCATAGTGGTGGTGGTAGTCGTAGTATCTCCACTTTGCTGGCTGAACTCCTGCAGGGCATCTGGACCCTTACTTGCCAAGGACTCCAGGAACTCCTTCATGCGATGCTGAGGGATGCTCCGAGCCTTCTGCCTCACAAGCTCCTCGTAGGAGCCTGTACCATCCAGGGAGTTATTCATTGCTGCTGACAGTGTCTTCTTCTATAGCGGGGATCTGAGGAAAGGTGCGATTCATTTAGGATTGGCTGTATAGGTACATGCTTTATTTATGTCAACAAAGAATGGCCATGGATCACATTCCAGTAACCCTGTCAAAACTGCTAACATTAAAACTCTTATGAATTACTCTTATTGAAAAAGCAAGAAGACGGCGACATGGTTGTGAAGGAACAATTAAAAAGAGAAAAACGCTGCGCTGACATCAGTTAAAAAGCTACAGTGTTTACAAACGGACCTACAGATCACTGACCAGTGGCAAACACAGACAGACGGATGATAATAGGAAAGGGTTAATTCTAGCTGAGTGTCTACGAGCAGGGACAAAAGCGCGGCCACTTTCCAAATCCGATGCAGTATTCAAAGCAGCGATGGAAACTGCTGCATAATGGTGGGGGAAAAATGCAAGTTCCACAAATCAATTAAGTTACTATTGTGAGCATGGAGCAACGACAGCCCATCTAACAGCTGATTACACAACGAGCTAGGTTGCAGCCAGGTGAACAGGCTAACTAGCCGCGTGTTGTTTGCAAATAAGAGCCTGTCACAGTGGTGTTTTGGCAAAGTGTACGGAGGCGATCAGGTGCCAGAACAACAACACAGCGGCTACGTAGCAGGCGGTACATCAACAGAAAGCAGCGGAAAGTGGGGCAGCTCTCCTGTCGCTAACGTTACACCGACTTGCTAGCTGGATTTTTTTTTTTTTTTTCCTGTTATCTCCAAAGCTAGCAGGCTACTGTTAGCATGCGCGTTAGCTACCTCTCTTCCTCAACCGGGCCGAGGCTCGAGTCGCCCACAACCGTTTCTCTACCCTCGAAACGTCGCTCCTCTTCCAGCGAGCAGGGAAGCGAGGTGCTTCTGACGTTTTTCTGTGGCTGGTTTACTCTTTGTTTTTCCTGGTTTTCGTTAGATGGCTAGCTCTATTTTTTCCTTTTCTAAACCACTCATATTTCGCTGGGCGCCATCTTACAACACTACCTACAGACCAATAGGCGAGCGATTTGTAACTCTGTCCAGCTGTCGCGGTATTTCCACCGCGTAATATCGCGATAACAGACGGGCGAGGAATAGACCTTTAAAGGCGACACACACAGGCAGAGTAGCCGGCTAGATCAGCTAGATGTCAGTCCACCTTAAAACCCTGTTATACCAGACAGACGCTCTTAGTGGTTCACTGGCTTCTGAATCTTTTAAGGTAGTTCCGTAGAGATGCGCTGAATATTTGGGTGGTGCTCACGGAGCTCTGGGCAGTTGAGGGTTAATTCCCACGCACTATCACTTCAGCGTGGTGTGTGTTTTCCACACTGCTTTCTGTTTGGACCAAATTACCTGCTTGAGGATTAATTTTAACTTTTTATGGCTTATTGGGAAACCTGGAGGAGGATTTTTGTTACACAGATTAATTTCCATTAAGGTCAAAGCTGTTTTGCACCATAAAACATTATTTCCTTTATTTTTTCTTTCAAATCTAAATGTATTGTTTATGCACCAATGCACGCCATCCACTTAGAGATGATATCAGTATTGGTCCAATAATGTTTTTTAAGTTGCTTAACACAACTGCAAAATCAGGCACAGCAACTAATGCAAAATTGATATCTTGCTTATAAGTCTGAGATTGTGTGCTTTTTAAAAATAACATTAGATAGCTCAGTCTTAGAGGTTGCATTATAGTTAAGCAATAACCTACTGTTTTCCAAACTTACAAGACCTCTCCCGATTATGTCATTACATATACAAATTCCCAATTACTGTCACCCCCCACTCATGCTGAATATTGTGTGATCACAGCAATACTCATAGCCAAAAACATCATCATATACTAAGTTTAACATTGCATCCTGATATTAAAATATCAGTAGTTGAAGATAATTGACATCAGCTTCAAAAACAAGAGACATTGCACATGTTTTTTCGAGGAATATTTATTCTCGTCTGTCAAAAGGACACACATGAACCCCCCTGAGTCTTAAAAAAAACACATGGTGGTTTGGCAGTGACTTACCACCTTTGTTAGAAAGTCATGTATGGCATTTGAGAGCATCTCCTCTGTGCAACACCAGCTTAGAGCCCATATTAGCATACAAGAGGTCCTCGTTGAACAATGATCAACGTTGCATACATTCAACAAAGAGGAAACACTGTGTAAGTGAATTATTATTGCAGCGGCTATAGAAAAAGAATCAAGCAGACTCTGACACCGACTGACCAAGCTTGCGTCTGAACCAAGTGATACTGCAGTAATTCTGCTGGCCACAATTCTCTTATGAACATGGACGTGTAATTATTACAGTATCTGATTTGAGTCAGTCTCAGCATAAGCAGTCTGTGCCCTTGCTGTTGTTACACCTTCAGTGATGCAAACAATTTGGACATGTATCTGTGGGCTCATGGGAAGCAGGAAGTGCGGCTTGATCTCAGTCAATTAGATCTTCCCCGGGTCTTCTTTGAGAGTGACTGTCCTGTTGAAGACGAACTGCAGAGAAAGAAAGATTAGGAGTTACACTTCACATCCAAAATGTATTTATATCAGAGTAGATTACCAAAACTCAACTGAACTAAAAACAGAGGCTTTCATCAGTAACCATTTGTAATATAAAACACAACACTTACCTTGTCTGCAGTGCTGTCAGGGTCCAAAGAGAAGTAGCCAACTCTCTCAAACTGGAATTTGTCAAAAACCTTTGCTTCCTTGACGGAGATATCCACTAAGGCACTGCTGATTGTCTGCATGGAATGCTACAAAAAAGAAATACATATAAAAGTTATATATATATATATATATGATATTTAAAACATTCATATAGCAGCAATCAACTATTTGCTAATATTTATAAAGATATAGTGGCATCATGGTGTTCTGAGAAGAGAATGACGTGACACTCCATCTTGATCCATGTGTTGCTGTCGCAGCCTTTCTGTGGTTTGTCTACATAGCCAATCTGCTCTGTGTGCAGCTGAGTAGAGCGACTGAAAGTGCTGTTTTTCTTGTCTACCTCAGTGAATTAAGGATTTATTTTGACCAAAGAAAAGTTGGAACAGTGGAAAGACAAACAAAGACTGTTCAGTGAGTTTTATTTTGTTTATATCCACTTTAAATGAAGTTACAATGATATGAGAGTTAAAATTAGCATTTTTGTCTATGGACCCTGGTTGTGAGTGATATTGATATAACGGCTGTTTCTAGTTGTGTTGGGATCCTTTCAGACATTTAGAATAACAATGTGAGCCTGTCAGTGTCAAAAGTAAGCTCTTTTAGTGGACGTACTTTGATAGCACATTTGTCCCAAGGATTAACGTTAGCTTACATTGCTTTCACATCTAACTCTGTGAGTTAAGGGTTTATTTTGACCAAACCAGCTTTGGTGATTGTTGGAAATAACAGTTATGGTGAGTTTTATTTTGTTTCGCTCACTTTTCTTTGGTCTCAGATGCTGGTGCTCTAGTGCGACATCCAGTGGCAAATTCATTTTGTATAACCTTTAAACAATTACTACGCCCATAGAAACATCTCAGTTAATCCAAACAAGCCTCCTGTCACTGGAGTGCAGAGGTACTCACAGGATTGATGTCACTCAGGAAGCCACTGGGCACTTCAGCTGGATCCTCTGGATGTTTGTGCAGAAATCTACAAAGATAGTGAGACGTTTTGGTAAAGTGAGTTTTCTACATGGAGCATTGGTTGTGAATGACAGGGAGTGATTTTTGTGACTTACAGTCTTTCATAAAGGCGCACTTCACACAGCAGTGGCTGGCTGACCCAGTGGATGAAAGCCTTTGGTTTCTCTGCAGTATCAGAACTGCAACAGGTCACCTCCAGTTCTACCACTTTACCCTGAGCATCCTGGGAAACAGAGTGAAAACCAGAAGGACATGTGGTGAGGACATGGACCAGATGGTATGTAAAATACTACTTAACTAAAGTGAAGACAGAGACACAAGAGTTCAATCAGATTGAATTTTGACTAATGAAATGATTAGGCTCTGCAGGGTTCAGCCAATTTAAGAGAGGGGGTCAGACTGATTCAGAAAATATTGTTTGTTTGTATAATTTTTTCATACAACTGCATGGTCAAATAAAACAGCCGAGAAGAAGGGATGCTACATGGCTGCAGTGAGTGTAAGGACAGTGATAGAGGTTAATGGTGCTGAAGGAAAATCTGGTCTGACTGCACCTTGAAACATCTTACCTTGATGACCTTCTGCACAGAGATGATATACCCAGCATGCCTTAGACCTACAGGCTGCTCAGGGGTCAGACGCTTGTAGCCCTTCTCCATCACCTGCAAAAGAGTCCATCATCATCATGTTTTGTACATAATCCAAAAATTGGGCAAATAAAGTCTGCTATGGTGAGAGTAATTATTTGTGTTTTTTTCTCTCTCTAACCTCTCTGAAGTCACTCTGTTCAATGAAGATTGTACGTGTAAATGGAACCACGTGGCTGCCTTTGGCCTCGTTGGCAGGGAAGTCTGGTACTCGTACATCTGACTGAGACAAAAGAGGACGACGGAAGGAAGATTTAGTTCAAAGACAGAATATACCGGATATTACAAGTCCTCAGGGAGCTGTTTAATGTGTAATCTCTCTGTATTTGTAAGTCATGCACAAACCTTTGAGTTCTCTGGAAGGTTAGTTATGGTGACTTTGAGCGGTTCCAGCACAGCCATGACTCTGGGTGCAGAGTCATTCAGCACGTCCCTCACACACGACTCCAGAAGGTGGGGCTCTGTCGTTGTCTGGGAAACTGTGACTCCCACCTGCCAACACATGTAACATATTATTACACAACAGCACCGCCCTGATACATGTAATTACTCCTTACACCATCCACCTATTCATCCTTCTAGCCTTTCTGCATACCCGTGCACAAAAGTTGTTAATTGCTTCTGGTGGGAAACCTCTTCTCCTCAGTGCGGTCAAAGTGAAGAGACGGGGATCGTCCCAGTCCCTGTAATTAGAAGAGATATAGTTAACAAACTATGTGTAGTATGAAAACATCACACGAGAACCTGCGGTCAAAATGCTGCCCAGCAAACCCCAGTGAGAAGTATATATGGTTTGAATCCATCCATGATGTTTAACTTGTCTGTCCGCTGCAAGAGATCTGTGTTTTTATTACGATTAGTGGTAACAGCTTTTTATAAACTTGGGAGGACTTAAGCCCTTTTCAGACATGGAATTCATCAAGCTCTTTTTGTCATTCAGACATAGGTTACCTTAATGTAAATTTTACTTAAAGTTCATTTACAGGACATTTACTAGAAGAGCCACAAGCTTGTGCAATGTAATTAAAACAATCTATATAATACAGTTCGTAGGCCCTTGCGTATCTGTTTTTTTCCTCTTAGCTCTGAAGAAGGCAAAGGAAAAGGTTCAATTCAGACTTGTGCTTTGCTAAAAAGTGTTGCGTACATGTTGCCCCGTCCGACCTAGTAAGACTTTAATGTAATATTGATTTGGGGACTTATTTAGTCATAAGACGGACATGTAAAATTGCCCTCATATTTACATAAGGAGTGCACGGCTAAAAAGGGGCATTAGTGGAAAAATAAAATAGGGTAGAAGGTAGGGATGCACGGATCCAACTCTCTCTCTGCTGACACCTCAACTCACAATATCTGCCACCACGTACCACACTGCATGAAACTCACAGGGATAATTTTTATATAGGGTAACATTAGACCAGCACCCCGTAACAACTTCATTAATGTAAATGGTAGCAGAAAGACCGCATTTTATAATGACACTGACACACGTGGATCAGTAACGCCTGACTAATACCTAACCTAATAGTTTAGTAGTAGGGCAAATACTCATCCTTCATCAGTTGCTTCTAACACAAAGGTTTCTGGGCGCTGGTGAACAAATGCTTTCTATCTATTTGGGTTTTTTATAGCCCATTATTTACAAGACTATTGTACTGTAATATAAATAGTTAAAATGAACATACTGGAAACAAATGGCAAAAAGAAAATGTGATTTTACCTGAC